AAAAAAAAAAAAAAAAAGAAAAATGATTCTGACATAGACCTGTCACTGAGAGTTCTAAACATTTCACCACTGCTTTCCAAAAAGATTGTTATGCATTTTAATTATTTAGGAGCAAGCAAGAAGAAAGGAGTCTTTTCTGATCTTTGGCCACGAATTTCCCTGAAACAGGAAAGCATGGTACCCTATAATTTTTTAAAATTTCAATTAGGTCATTACCATATTCAAACTTGGTGCTTTTAACATTTTTGCCAAACATTCAGTCTAGGACACATTTTAATAGATTGAATTCAGCTTCCAAATTAGCTGGGACTACAGGCACACTCCACCACACCCGGCTAATTTTATATTTTCAGTAGAGACGGAAATAATTTTATATTTTCTCCGTGTTGGTCAGGTTGATCTCGAACTCCTGACCTCAGGTGATCTGCCTGCCTCAGCCTCCCAAAGTGCTGGGATTACAGGTGTGAGCCACTGTGCCTGGCCCCAATGTTTCACACTCTACAAAAAAAGAAAATTAAGTGCATCTGATACTATGCAGGTGCTCATATAACCCGTTTTTATGACTATTTCTATATATTTGTCACAGGCTTTTCCTCTTTCTGTAAGACCCTGGATTGAGAGGGCAAGGACGGTATGTTTTCCTCTAGCTCTACACAGGATCTAATCCTACCTGATAAGCGGCAGTAGGAGGGCAGGCTGGTTACCTGGGTAGAAGAGAAGCCTCCATATGCATTGCGTTGCTTGGCCAACCAAGCCACTATGTTAGTGGCCTTGGCTATCTCCTTTTGAGTCAGGTTGGGCTTGGTGAGTTGAGCCAACAATACGTATGCTGTGAGTTCCACATCTAGGGACGCGGGCTCAGACCAAGGGCTGGCATTCAGTGACGGAGTAGATTTCTGGCTCCAGTGAATGGATTCTCCTATGGAAAAAGAAATGTAACTAGGATGTCCTTAGAAGGAACTGGCTTTCCCATCGTCTCTTTGTAAATGCAGCATCTTAGAGCAGAGAAAGCACCAACTGAGAATTAAATATGAGTAGAAAACAATTTCTCAGATTTAGCTGATTAATTGACCTTGATGTAAGGATGACGTAAGGATGCAAGGATGCATGCATGTATGGGTGTGTAAAGCTAGAAACATCAAGAAATGTTCCTGCCTCCAGCCATTACAGGAAAACCACCCTTGTTATTTCTGATGCTCATGGAAGTAGGTAAATAGAAGCTTCTTATAAGAATCTCTGTGTTTGGGGGCAATTTTTTTTTTGGCTTACAGTTTTATGAATTTTTCAGCATTTATTTTATTTAATCAAAGATTTAACATTTTAAGTAGAACAAAGATGGCAGAGTATATGTAAGAATTCTGAGAAACCGTGAAGAAATGCTAATGAGGCCAACAACATGAAATATGCTTAGAAGGCAGTCCAATAGTATATGAGACCAAAAGAAACCTCTGTGACAGCCAAGATGACAGATAACTGATAACTTGAAGAAACAATAAAAGAACAAATGGAAATGGGAAAGGTTAAGTTAAAGACTAACTAAACAGAATTTTAGAGCTAATAAGTAACCACAGAAGGCAATCTAATTGGAAGAATGTAGCAGAAAACATGTGAGCTTGCAATACGAGGAAATGGAAAAGAGATCATCAAAATAAATCAATACACGATGGAACAGGTATATTTAACCCATTGTCTTGGACACATATTCTATGACTGCAGTTGTTTACACACAAGAGAAAAAGCTACCCGGAGCCCATATGAGAAGACAGTTCGGCCATGACACTCATATTAATGAAGGCTGAGACTGAATTTCTGCCTGGAAGAATAATTTTAAATATACAGCCAGATAAAAGAAAGGCAGTAATATTTTATTTACAAGATCTGTCATAACTTCGAATAGTATTCTAAATATATTTAAAGTAGTCCAGGCCAGGCACAGTGGCTCACGTTTGTAGTCTCAGCATTTTGGGAGGCTGAGGGGGGCGGATCACTTGAGGTCAGGAGTTTGAGACCAGCCTGGCCAACACAGTGAAACCCGTCTCTACTAAAAATACAAAAATTAGCCGGATGTGGTGGCAGGTGCCTGTTATCCCAGCTACTCGGGAGGCTGAGGCAGGAGAATCACTTGAACCCGGGAGGCGGAGGTTGCAGTGAGCTGAGATTGCACCATTGCACTCCAGCCTGGGTGACAGAGCAAGACTCTATCTCAAAAAATAAAAAGTTAAATAAAAATTTAAAAAATATTTAAAGCTGGGCACGGTGGCTCACGCCTGTAATCTCAGCATTTTGGGAGGCCAAGGCAGGTGGATCACGAGGTCAAGAGTTTGAGACCAGCCTGGCCAAGATGGGGAAACCCCGTCTCTACTAAAGATACAAAAAATTAGCCAGGCATGGTGGTGCATGCCTGTAATCCCAGCTACTCGGGAGGCTAAGGCAGGAGAATTTCTTGAACCCGGGAGGCAGAGGTTGCAGTGAGCCGAGATGCCGCCACTATACTCCATACTGGGCAACAGAGCGAGATTCCATCTCAAAAAAAAAAAAAAAATGAAAGTGGTCCTACATCAAAGAGCTTTCAAAGATCTCCAAAAGGGTGATTCCACAATGCCAACAGATTTTCTGACTAGCTTCCTCCATGTGGTTTCTGTTCAGGTTAAAAGTACAAAAATGCCCTTTGTGCACTTGCATGTGTTTCTCACAAACCTCCCAACAATCATTTTATGACTCAACAACTGTCACTAAAATGGATCCTAGAGTACATGTGTGGGACAGGGGACACCAGGGAGATTATAGATAACTCACAGCTTATGTTCACAATTTCAAAGAACTCTTCACAGGACCAACATACCTGAGATGATAGCCTTTTGATCCAACTGCTTTAGGAGGGTGCTTCTCATGTCCATTTCCCCAGCCAGGGAGAAGATGTAAGCCAGCTGGGCCTGCGTGTAGAGGTTGCTGGTGGAGGTGACTGAATTCCTGAGACACTGTAGACCCTGACTCACCATTGGGTCCTAAAAGGTGAAGATGAAGGCCATAACTTATAAGGCATTCCTTACAAAACGGGAAGTAATAAGGAAATCATATTATCCTTCTTGACCTTAAAAGGGTGACTGGGGAAAAAGATGGGTGAATGTCTCTAGGAAAAGGCATGAGAAGAAGGGTGTCAAGAGAAGGAGCCAAGAGAACTCACATCTACGGCCTTTCCCATCTCCAGCAATGCAGCCATGACATATGCGGTCAAGGAAACTTCATCATCAACACCACCCTAGGGGCAAACAGAGAGAGTGAGTCAGGACAGCAGGCAGCACCTACGAGAATCCTGTGCAGATTGCAAAACGGCATCCCCTCTGAATGGATGAATTATTTTTAAAAAGAGAAAAAAGAGAAAGCTCTCCTTTCCACAGGCTTTCTGCAGCTCCAAGCGTCCAGAACACACAGAGGGAACAGGCTGGACTTCAGTGACTTGCACAGGTTTCAACAGCCTGCAGGCGGTGGCATGAGGACTTCAACTGAGTGGGTGTTTAAGGAACCCAAGAGGGCCAGGCGTGGTGGCTCATGCCTGTAATCTCAGCACTTTGAGAGGCCGAGGCAGGCGGATCACCTGAGGTCCTAAGTTCGAGACCAGTTTGACCAATACGGAGAAACCCCGTCTCTACTAAAAATAGAAAATTAGCCGGGCGTGATGGCGCATGTCTGTAATCCCAGCTACTCGGGAGGCTGAGGCAGGAGAATCACTTGAACCCGGGAGGCGGAGGTTGCAGTGAGCTGAGATTGCACCACTGCACTCCAGCCTGGGCAACAAGAGCGAAACCGCATCTCAAAAAAAAAAAAAAAAAAACCCACAAATTTCTGACCTACCCTTCCAGAGCTTCTCATTCAGTAGGTGTGGGCTGGGAGTCAGAATTCACATGTCCAGCAAGTTCCCAGATGATGCTGATGCTCCTTATCTGGGAACTATGCTTTGAGAACCATGTTTCAGTTCACATTCTCTTTTTTTTTTTTTTTTTTTTTGAGACAGTGTCTTACTCTGTCTCCCTGGCTGGGGTGCAGTGGCACAATCATGGCTCACTGGGGGCTCAATCTCCTGGGCTCAGGTCATCCTCCCACTTCAACCACCCAAGTAGCTGGGACTATAGGCGTGAACCAACATGCCCGGCTAATTTTTCATATTTTTTTCGTAGAGATGGGGTTTCACCATGCTGCCCAGGGTGGTCTGGAACTCCTGGGCTCAAATGATCCAACCTCCTTGGCCTCCCAAAGTGCTGGGATTACTGGCATCAGCCACCGCACCCAACCTTCATCTGTATTCTCATTCTACAGACATGAAAACTGAGGCCGAGACCGGTTGAGCATTATGACCATGGTCGTCCAGAGCCACGGTGCAGACCAGAAGAAAACTGACTCCCCGGCCAGCGCCCTTTCGCTTCTTCTCGGTCAGAGGCATGAGGGCCTTCCAGACCGTGGTCGGCTGCAGGCCCCCTGGACAGACCCGCACCTTCATGGCTGTGTGAAGGAGCTTGCCCACGTTGGCATAGCAGCCGCTGGGAAGCTGGTGTCCTGCCATCCACTTGAGAGCATCCTGGATATTCTTGGGATCAATGAAGATGAATTTCTGAGCTTGGCCAAAGCATTTTGTGACAAAGGCTGTCAGCCTGCATGGGTAAAGAGGGAAATGCGGCATGAAGGGGAATTTCTAGGTGAGGGTGCGATCATTTTTTTCATTTATTTGGGTGTGCGCTTCTGGAAGGGTAGCTGAGGGAACATGTGCCATGGCAGGCCTAGAAAAGGGAGGCATTAATTAATGGGCACTAATGAGGACACGAACAGGGGAGGCACAGCTCAGGGAGAGGCGTGAGGAACTGACCATACATGAGGGTGAAATTAGCAGTCCTACAGAGGTAGAAGGCTGAGTGCGAGGAGGACTGGGCTTAAGGGGAGAGGTAGCGGAATCGTTCCAGAAGGCTCAGGAATTACACGCTGGAGTACAGCTCTCATTGGGAATTGGGTGATATTACCATGTGTTCCCATCTCCATCCTGCTCCCCAAAGGCACTGTAGGAGCCATTGCTGTGTTTGTACGTCAGCTCCTTCTGGTACCCTGGGAAACCAAATGTGGTTTTAGATCACAGTGACAACTCTTCAAAAAACACCACCATGATTTTCAAGGATATGGACCCTTCAGGGGCTGGAATTCCCTGTCTCTTATCCATCTGTCATAGGGCTTAGAGGAGGAGAGTGTCCAAGAAAGAAAGATTGAACCGGCCGGGCGCTGTGGTTCACGCCTGTAATCCTAGCACTTTGGGAGGCCGAGGTGGGCGGATCACCTGAGGTCAGGAGTTCAAGACCAGCCTGGCCATCACGGTGAAACCCTACCTTAAAAAATAAAAAAATGAAATAAATAAAATAAATAAAAAATAAAAAAAAAAAAAGAAAGATTGAACCAACTTACCTATCTCCAGGAAACCCACTGCCCGAGACTTGATTTCCTCAGTCAGCAGTCCCGCCTTCTCCAGGTACTGCAAGACATAGATGATGGGAGCGAACAAGACCATGTTCTGCTCGCCGCAGCCACTGGGCATCTGCACCAGACCATCCAGGTTCTGCAGGGCTGTGCCCATAATGTCTCCTGAATCCAAAAGGTGAGAGAGAAGGTGGCGGTATAGAGAAGAAGGAACCCTCGAAGAGTTATCATCATTCACTCAACAAACATGTATTAGCTATCATTGCAGTAAGTACCTATTATGTGCCCTGCGAAGTCAACAGTAAATCAAACCCAGTCTCTACCCTCAAAGAACTCACCGAGGAGCAAACAATTACAATACAATTTTACTCATTATAAACAATTTTATACAGTATTACAATATCATACTGGATACGTACGAGGTGCTAAAGGACAAAGAGGGGCATAGGCTATCCAGGAGAGTTCAGGGCATTTATTTACTTATTTATTTGAGACAGAGTTTCACTCTTGTTGCCCAGGCTGGAGTGCAATGACGAGATCTCGGCTCACCGCAACCTCCACCTCCCAGGTTCAAGCGATTCTCCAGCACTAGTGTCCCGAGTAGCTGGGATTACAGGCATGCATCACCACACCCAGGTAATTTTACATTTTTAGTAGAGATGGGGTTTCTCCATGTTGACCAAGCTGGTCTTGAACTCCCGACCTCAGGTGATCTGCCCGCCCCAGCCTCCCAAAGTGCTGGAATTACAGGCATGAGACACCGCACCCAGCCAAGGGCTTTTAAAAAGGCATGTCATTGAGCTGATGAGTGATGTGACAAAACTTATTATACAGGCTCAATCTCTAAGTTCCTCTACCACTGCGTATGCATTCATCACCCTCCAAATCACCAAGTTTCTCTACAACACACAATCCTGACTCTCTTTTCCAAGTTGCCTACTGACTTACCAAGCCAGTGAGCCTGACACAGGTGACTCATTAACATCTACATTGTAGCCCACGAGCTCAATTCAAATCTATAAATGTCAACTATGCTGCAGGAACCGTACTAGGAACAAAAAAGGAAAAAGATGTGGCCCTTCCTCTTCAGGCACCCCCAACACCGTGTGGAAGACAGACATAGATAGAGAACTCTAATACAATAGGACAAGCGCTAGATCAGGCTTACGAATAAAATAGACAAAACAGAGAAATTGTGACTGCAAAGGATCTCAATAGAGGGTGAGGGAGTACAGAAAGAACCTAACGTTCACAGGGCTCCAACTACATGCTAGAGGTTGTGCTGGGAACTTTATATTGCATTTAATCCTGACACCAGTCTGAGAGGCAGGTTATTATCACTGTTTTACAGAAGAGGAAAGAAGGCCGAGACCTGTTTCCTAACTCGTTCAAGGTCATGTGGCTATTAAATGGCAGGTTAGATAAGATTTTTTTTTTTTTTGAGATGGAGTCTTGCTCTATCGCCCAGGCTGGAGTGCCGTGGCACGATCTCGGCTCACTGCAACCTCAGTCCCCCACGTTCAAGCGATTCTCCTGTCTCAGCCTCCTGAGTAGCTGGGATTACCGGCACCCACCACCATACCTGGCTAATTTTGGTATTTTTAGTAGAGATGGGTTTTCACCACGTTGGCCAGGCTGGTCTCGAACTCCTGACCTCAGGTGATCCACCCGCCTCAGCCTCCCAAAGTGATGGGATTACAGGCGTCAGCCACCGCGCCCGGCCCAGGTACGATTTTTAAGTTCATGCTTTTCAACCCACTTTCTCTCCAAAACAGTAAGTGTGCCGCCTATTGCAAATATGGTTGCATCTTCCCTAAACGATACCCGAATTCCTCATTTTTAAAAACGGTTGCTGCAAATATTTTGTCATCCTTTCACCCAATTTATAGATTACCACCTAAAGCTAATTTCCTATCACCCTTCAGCGACCTTAACTTCTTCCTACCCTGACTCCTTTCCATTTTTAACTAGACTACAAGTCTAATCCCATCTGTACTGTTGCCTACACTGTATTTCCCTCCTATATAAAATACGCTCTTTCTCCTCATCACTTGTTGTTAGTCATGCTCTCCCGATAGGTCCACGTGTCCCACCCCACTCCACACCTCTGCAGCCTCCACCCGCCTTTTCCTCGTTGAGCCAAGAATCTGCTTACCCAGAACAGTAACATAAGCCTTGGTCGAGTCAGGAACAACACCGGCCGGGACCTCCAGGGAGACAGATTCAGATACCACCTTTCCTGTGAGAGGCAGAAAAAAGGTGATGCAGTAGAAGATGGGGGATTGCAGGGGTTCTCAAGCCCAAATTGTAGAAGAACTTTCTATAATCCAAGGATTTCTATACTCAGTGCTTCCTCTGGGATGCAGAAAGCACTGGGTACTATTCATAGTGATCTTGCTGAAGATAAACTCCACAGAGAGTCATCATCGCTGCACGCTTTCTCTTCCTCCTCCTGCCTCAGTTAATCAGCCCCCTGAGTAACGGCACCCCAGCCTCTCCTATTCCTTCTTGTCTTGTGCATTCCTCCTTCCGCCTATGAAAATCTCCTGTCGCTGGGTGCGGTGGGTCATCCCTGTAATCCCAGCACTTCGGGAAGACGAGGCGGGCAGATCACGAGGTCAGGCATTCTAGACCAGCCTGGCCCATATGGTGAAACTCTATCTGTACTAAAAATACAAAAATTAGCCAGGCGTTGTGGCAGGTGCCTGTAGTCCCAGCTATTCTGGAGGCTGAGTCAGGAGAATCGCTTGAACCCAGGAGGTAGAGGTTGCCGTGAGCTGAGATCGTGCCACCGTACTCCAGCCTGGGCAACAGAGCAAAACTCCATCTCAAAAATAAAATAAAATAAAACACAAAAATTAGCTGGGCATGGTGGCGTGTACCTGTAGTTCCAGCTACTTAGGAGGCTGAGGCAAGAGAATCACTTGAACCTTGAACCCAGGAGATGGAGGTTGTAATGAGCTGAGATCGCGCCACTGCACTCCAGCCTGGGTGACAGAGCAAGACTCAATCTCAAAAAAAAAAAAACAAACAAAAAAAACTCCTGCCCCCAAGGGAATTCTTACCATCAGTCCTGCTCTGAATCTACCTACCTTTTGGGCACAGCAGTGAGCTGCGTGTCTTCTCCACCAGGACTCCCTCAGGCTGGCATGAAGAGAGACGTGGATAGGTTAAAAACAATGAAGATGAACATCAGGCAGGGCGACACTAAAGGAATGGGAAGGGAGGCCTCTCGCTGTGCCCCGGGGCTTCCCTCAGGACTGCAGAGAAGAGCTGCTCATTGACGCTCAGAGGAACTCTGTGTTAACCCCAGGATGGGCCCTTTCTGTAAAGTTCTTTCTGGGCAAGTGCTCGCTAAAGACATATTTAGGCAACTTTTTTTTTTTTTTTTTTTTTTTTTTTTTTTTTTTTTTTTTTTTTTTTTTTTTTTTTTTTTTTTTTT